TCCTAGGGCATTCACTGGAAAGATTGGAACTTTCTTACTTTTCAATATCAGCATGGTGGCTTTGGCTTTATTGACTTGCAGCTCTTCAACATTGCCTTGATCTATAAACAATTATGGAGAATCTCTACTCAGCCTCAGTTGTTGGTTAGCAGAATATTGAAAGACAGGTACTTTCTCACTTGTTTTATTTTTTATGTTGTCAAGTCCCCTAATTGCTCTTGGTTATGGTCCAACTAGGTGGATGTGATTCCTATCTTTGTAAAAGGATATGCTGTGGAAATCATAGATTGAGCCAAAACTAAAATTCAAGATGTTAATTGGGTTCCTAATATTGTGCATCCAAGACCTTCTATCTTAGACATTGCTAGAGGGCACCTGATTATGGTTAAAGAGCTGTTGAATGATTCAGGGCAAGAATGGAACACATGGCTAGTCAACCAACTTTTCAATGCTCAGGATAGCACTGCCATACTTAGTATCAACACTCTGAAACCAAGACATGAAAATAGACAATATTGAAAATTTGGAAAGAAAGGTTTCTTTTCAGTTTCTAGTACCTATTCTTTCTTGTCACATAATAAATACTTCTCCCTTGACTTACCTCGTAGCAGTCATATATCTACTCATGTTTTAGCCAACTCTAGACTCAAGCTGTGGAAATTAAAGGTGGTCAGCAAAGTTAAGTTCTTCATCTGAAAATGCATAGTGGGGGCTCTACCTGTTAAAACCAACTTGCTAAAACCAACTTGTTGAAAAGGGGATTGAAGCTTGATGTAATATGCAGCATTTGTGGGGAAGGCCCAGAGACAATAAAACATGTCCTTTTCAATTGTCCAAGAGCAGTGAGTATCTCTCATGTATCATGGACCTTGCAGCCTTCTCAGACTTCTTCATTCAGTGATTGGTGGCAGTTCATTTGTTCTATGGGTTCTTCTGAGACATCTAAATCCAGAATTCAACTAACACTTACATACTATGGTGGCTTTGGAGGACCCGCAACCTGTGCATCTTTAAAGACACTCTCATGCCCATTAATGTCACCCTCAAAGCTGCTCATAGTGATTGTCAAGCTTTTGCTCAATTGTAGTCTGTTTTATTTTTTTTTTTTATGTTTGTCTGGACTGGTTTCTTGGTTGTGTGGTCTGTTTGTTTAATCTTCGTAGTTTTTCCTTTTCTTTCCTCTAGGCCTTTGGGCAGTGGAGGGTGATATGGGATATTATACTCATATGAATAAACCGGTCCTTTTAGCTGGCTAAATGAATTAAAATATGAAAGAGATCATTTCCAGTTGTAATGATGGGTGAGAGGGCATATTGAATGTAGTCGAGGGAGAAATATCGAAGGCTTCGGCAGAGTCAATAAGGAAGATCTGGTCGAGTATTAATCAGGTCGAGTCTGCATTGGTCGAAGATATCTCTGAGGCAGTATGATGGTCGATCTCACTAGAAATAGAAGACAACTTAGGGAGTTGACTCAGATAAGGTCAAAATACGATGAGCTTCTAACGGAATTGCAGAATGTCAGTGGGACGTCAACAAATCGTGAGAGAATATTTTACTCCATGTGCGGAAGACACGTGGCGCGGAGATATTGGTGCAGAGGATAGTGGCGACGGTTACCTCTGACACACGCACAATGTGTGTACGGACGGGCAAACCCGAGCAGCCAGCTCAGCAGATCCGGGCAGCTCTTAGGGCAGGGATCTCACCCCTATATATATGGGGTGAGTTTTTCTTGTTCAACACGATCATTCTATTTTTCACTCTTGAGAATTGATTGAGCAAACACTGACTTAAGTTTTGGAGGCTCTTCACCGGAAAACTCCTTCGGTGTCAGAGTTCTTTGTAGGTGCACGACGTTAAACCGGCGAGAAAGAAGGCGATTACTCAGATTCCAGCCGGTCGGAGAGTTTTGTGTGGTCTACTTGTTTAGTCTTTGTAGTTTCTCCTTTTCCTTCCTCTAGGCCTTTGGGTAGTGGAGGGTCTCTTGTTTTTTTCTTTTCTTTTGTTTCTTGTGGTTCTAGGTCGCCTAGTGCGTGTCCTCTTATTTTTTAGTTGTATTCGGGTTTGGCCTGTATATTTCGAACGTTGTTCGCTTTGAGGTATATTATCTCTATCGTTTCGTCAAAAAAAAAAAAAAACATATATTCTATTTATTATTGTAGTCTGTTATGTATAAAAATTTAAAGGAAATAAAAAGAAAATAATCAAAGTATAAGAAGCATATAAAATAACTAAATTATAAAAAATAAATTGAATGGTTAGTATGAAATAATATATTAATATATGAGTTAATAAAATTCAACAGATAATATTATTAAATTATCTTCCCTTTTTTTTTTCTTAAACAACGTTTATTTATAAATAAATGGAGTGCGTATTAAATATATAGATAATAAGTAGACAATACTCACGGATATCTGCAGCAAGCAACCAACGGCAATTGCACCAATTAACAAAGCAAACAATTTAGCCACTTTTTTAGGGACAATTTTTCTATTTGTTAAATAAATGTTTTTGTAATGGCCTATAAATAGATGTTAGAGCTGAAGTCGACTCTTTAGGGCACATTTGGTTTCCAAGACAGGATTAGACTATTTTTATTTTAAAACCCTGACTACACTATTAAGATTATAGACATCCATTGTTTGTTAGGCATGATTTACGGATTCGCTAAAATTGAAAATAAACTGAACCTACATTTGTTTCGCATGATATGACTTTGATTAAATATGTATATTGACTAAATTGCCCCTGTTGTAGCTGTAAAATTTGGCAATTTATTAATGACTGTTTTTTTTTTTTTTCCTGCGTGTCCGAGGGGGGAAATGGTTTCGCTTCCATAGAATATTTCTTCAAAATCATGTGGATGGCAGATCACGACAACCTCGTCGATTACCAAATCGTGTTCTTCGTGGTGCGTCCTCCTGTATGCAATTTCAATCATCCCGGTTTGCCCTAAAAATTATTTTCGTCGGTAATATTTTAATCGTTCTTCAGTTACGGAATATTGTTCCAAAAATCTATAATATTTATTATGTTGTAATTCAATACTATCATAATTGGATCTTCGAACATTGTTGCTTTTACGAGGAAGCGAAGATTCATCCTACCGCGAATATGCTTTTTGCACTGTTTCGAAAAGCCTACTCATTGATTCTTCAGACGATGTCAATTAACCTGCAAATCTGAAGATTATATTCTCTGGCTTCCAATTGCTTGTTTTGTTGTTGGTTGGATTGATTGACAGTTCCACTTTTCCAGAGTCCATATTTTTATTTTATTTTTTCTCTACAAACAAAAAATGGTCTTGCCACTGTGTATAAATATAGCCCATGCCATTTTCAGTAGACCATTAAACAAGAGTGGGAAGAGTAAGCATTTCATATAAACAAGCCAAAACATGCCTCGTTTGTCCGCAGCAATTACACAACAAGAGTGCTTGTATGATAACCGCTGGACAAAAGAAGCCGACAATCTTTTTATTGACCTTCTAATGGAGGCAAATTCTGTGGGTGAATGGAAATATGGAAGACCCGTTAATTCTGTTTTTGATTATTGCAGGTTGGGAATCAAGACAACATTGGACCTGAACTTTATTCTCTGTGATGTTGAGTTGCGGTTTGATTTTCTCCAAAAACGCTATAGTGTTTTCAGTTGGATGCTTCGCAAACACGGCTTACGTCATTGTGTGAAATCAAACGTATTGACGGCACCCGTCGCTGTTTGGGATGACATCTTTGAGGTATTAATAACGAATATGAGTACTGCTTTGTTTGTTTTTAGTCTTAATTGGACATACCAAAAACAATGTAGAGAGGAAAAGCACAATAAACTTTTTGGTATGGATTTTGGTTAAACCTCTATCGACAATGTTCTGAAATTGTTATCTGCAATGTTCTGAAATTGTTTTTAGAAATTGGAGTGTGGATTACTTTGGTTATTCAAATCATTAGTTGGATTACTTCAAATAGTTATTCACTTAAATTGTTGTTCACTGAATTGGAATTCTTGTTGTTGGTTTTGTGTTATGTTAGTCCAACTCATTCAGTGTGGCCTATCAACATTGTGGCGATCCTCGCTGGAGTGAGCTTAAGTTTTTTTTTTCTGAGGTATATTTGGCCTCCCCAGACTTTTCAATTGTGCCAGATGTCCATTCCACTAATCAACATGTAGTCCCCGCGCTGAACGACACATCAGACCTCTTATCTGAACCGTCAAACAATAATGTTGTCCTTCAATGTCCTACGGCAAACAGTTTTATCCCGGGTAGGAGGGCGCGGGAACGTGATGTGTCTTCCGAGTGCTCAGTAAATACTCAGGCACATGTTTTGAATCCATTGCGGGGGAGCCTAACCCCTATGCGCATTCCTCGCCCTCCTCGTAAAAATGCCCCTTCCTCGTGCAAGGGGTCTTCTAGCGATCCGCGCATTTGATGACTTTAACTAGTCCTAAGATTTCATTGTTCATCGTATTTGGTCCAAGCGTTGTACGTTATTGAAGTTGATGTTATTTTCTTATTACTCATGTTAAGCGAACAACGATTGTGTTTTTATATTTCATAATTTATGTAATATGAATGCTTTAATGAGTGTTGTAAGTTACTACCTTACTTTAATATATTTTGTTATGGTGATTGATCAATTTCTGAATACAAAGTTTTTTTATTACTTAATTTGATGTGGCCGACTTAGTGACATTTTAGTGGCAAAAAATGAAAAACAACACTTGAGTGGCATTATAGCAACCAAGATGCATAGTACACAATAGCGTTACATAGTTACAACATTCAAGTAGAACATTGAAGTTTTCCTTCTCGTGAAACCAAAATACACCCGTTGAAAGCAACAGGTTAACAAAAGTAGCAACAAAATATAGTCGCCGTTCTGATCATACATAGGCACATAATTATATATACTATATCAGTTATGATGAAATGACCACAATGAAGCACAAAAGACAAAAGTAGCGGTCATCATGTCCCAATAAGAAATCGTGTGACTACTCTGACTGGACGCACGACTCAGCATCGCTATCCACTTCCATTCCCTCACCGACAACAGCACCGGCGACATCCACTGGGGCTGGTGCTTCTACAACATGTTCTTCGTCTTCGTCAACAGGGAGGTCTTCCATATCGTCGTCGCCGCTATCGTCAAGTGACTCGACATCGTCCAAATGAATGGGATCGTGGATCCCTGTTCCCGGACCTCCCTCCATATCAATTTCCGCAGCCTCGCGTTCGTCGAAGACCTCAACGCACGCATTGTACCAACGGAACCCATTCCAGCGAAAGAACACCTCACGGTCAGTTTCCTATACATCAGTTCATGAAATATGACCGATATGCATTATTATAAATACTAATGGCAATGCATTATTATAAACATTACTTTAGAGGAATTTTTAATATAGACACTAATGGCAGTGCATTACCTCTCTGACGTACTGCCAATATGACTTATCAACACTAACTAAGCCACCATCCTCGTGAACCATCACTTTTGAGGATATCAAATTAACAGTTAAATTCAAAATGTTTAATTAGTAAAATTGTT